CATTGCATTTCTTTCTCGTCCAAAGCCAAGAACTGATCGGTGTGAGAAATGTCCATGAAATTGTCACAAATGAACGAGTGAACGATGTGCTCGATTCTTGGACAGTGTACATAGGGTACAAGTCTATGAATGGACCAGACATTGGAGGGAGAGAGATAACCACTGATTGTTAAAAGACACAGATCTTGAAGGGATACGACATCTTCGTATAATTCCATGCCCTTAAAAGTGATAATCTAATTGGATCAAATTTCGAGGACTTCCCTAAATACTTATATTACTTAGCTTAAGTAATCATAACATTTAGTTTACAAAGAAACTTATCTTTTCTTTTAAACTTTTAAACGGCAGCTCGATGTCTTATCACACATGCGTGATTACGTAAACGAATAAACAAAAATGCGAAAATCTCGTCGATCTCTAGTCACGCGAAGTCACGCTATCGATGTCACGCCTATTTTTGGCGCGTGTGAAAATACGTCTTTTCGTAGCTTTATTCTTTATATGAGCAACTTGAAGGTGCGATACTAGTATTTTGATTTTATTGACAATTACTGGTTAAATTTTTCGTGGCTACATGTTGCTTGGGTTAGATACACAGTTCAGCTCAAAAGAAAAAAAGATTTTTAATCCTCCTATTTCAAGATTATGGTATGTTAATATAACCAAGAAACTCAATGAAAATACGTAGATTGGAATACATCATTYTTATATAGTTTTTTGTTGTTTTTTAGGGATCACATTGGCAGGTGGAAATTCTATTTTTGAATAGAAGAGGAGAAAAACTAAAATTAAAAAAAAATTACTATTAAAAAAAAATTATAATTAAAATTTTGTACTTGTCTAGCTGAGGCCTGATATCAAATTTAATATCTCTATATATTTATAAATGAATGAAACATCAGGGTTTTTCTAATGTTGAAAATTTGATAATTTCACTGAGTGCTCAATCATGAGATATTGATTGAACRATCAAAGCTCAGAATGCTAATCAACATTGAGATTTCTACCAGCCTACTCTCCTTGAAAGTCCCTCACTCGTTCATGGGTTTCAACCTTTGAAGATGGGAAGCACAAAAGTCCTTCTCTGCAGGAGCCTGACACTGTAATCTTTTGTAACTCATTCCTTACTCCCAAGAATAATAG